AGTATTACTATGTTTCTCATGTTCTACTATTTGGTATATAAGTATCTTAGGAAATTGAATATTTTCATACTGATATTTGACTTCTCAGTAAGTGTTTGTAGGGCAATTGTAAACTTGATAGCAATGAATCATTGTGTTTGAAAGCATTTGATTCCTATGAACATATGCAAGGTACAGTGGTATAGTCTTTTATATTGATGTAACATCTATTATGAACGATTGACTCTAAAAAGTTTCACTTTTCTCAGGTCAATATTTACAATAGATCAAGCAAAAAGAAGGTGTATTTTGTTTCACTGTATTTGAAGACATTTACTTCTGCTAGAAGTTTCTAACATTATCTAACATTCATAACAAATTTGTTCTGGTTGTTTTTTTTACTACGTATGATAATTAAACTATTTGTCTTTGTCTAGCAGATTTTATAAAAATTTGTTTTGCAAGAAGATATCAAATTTAGCTGACACCCTTCCATCTGCAGAAATTTTTTTGGTCAAAGTTTTGTTGAAATTTGTAAAGAAGGGGGTGTGTCATTGTGTGTTTCACTTTTCATTTAAGAATCAAGTTAGATGTGAAACCTGATTACAAAGATTGAGGTAGATAGATGAATAGTAAGATACATCTTTATTAACATAGTTCAATGAACTGAGAAATTCTTACACCTACTGTGTAAATGTACACATTATTTTTAATCTATACTTTTTTTAAGCAAAGAGTTGAAAACAAAAACATTGTATAAGAAAATTATTTGGTACAAAAAAAGGAAAAGATTCTTGTCTGTTTTTTTGGAATTGGTTTGAAAATAGTCAACACATCCTGAGAAATGTTAACTAGGATTTATTTCTTGCATATCACCAGAAATGCAGGTTGCAAGGCTGCTATCAGCTTTTGACTCTATGTGCCTTTCAAATTATTTCATAGTTTGATAAAAATCATTTCAGATACATACATTGATAAAATATTAAGTAAGGTTTTTCTACTTAAAACTTATATGCACACTATGTATTTGAATAACTTTGCAAACTAGATTTTTTTTGATGCACTACATTGTTTTGGGGGCATTATTTTACAGAACTGTAACAAAGATTTAGACAAGCCTCTTGTGAATTGAAATGACTAATCTATTGTTGAGAGTATCTAAGATATGCTCTGCATGCTGATGTTGAAATATAGATGCAGTATCAAATTGAAAATATAAAATAAAATGATAAATAAGATGTTGGAATAGATAGACACCCCCACCCCCATACATCTGTAGAGTGTATTAATTGTCCACTTAACAATGTGGTGGGGCCTCGGTGGCTGAGTGGTCTAAGTAGTTACTACTGTAATCACTAGCCAGTCAACACTGAGGTTGTGAGTTCGATCCCCACTCATGCGGGTGCACTCGACTCCAATCTTAATTGACTAGGATTGTCAGTTTTCCTATTGAAGGTCAGTGGTTTTCTCCGGGCACTCCGGCTTCCTCCACCAATAAAAACTGGCCGCCACGAAATAGTCCAAAAGCGGTGCTTAAAAGTGGCGTTAAAACACAAAAAATCAAATCAAATCAACAATGTGGTGCAAGGGACTTGGAAATACCAGGTGTTAGACAATTTTGAAAGATCAGTACAGATCAACTATTTTTAATGGAGTTTTGCCCCTTTTAAATATAAATTATATGAAAAAAGCAGTGTAAGGGCTCTCAAGCCTTCAATTCTTGTAGGGTTGATATGAAATTTATACCAAAACTTTATATCAGCAATGAATAGGAACAATTCAAAAATGGTATGTTAAAGTGGATTTAAAATAGATTATCTGTTAAAATAGATATTTAACCCCAACCTTCCATCAAAGCCTTTTCTAATTTCCCTATTCATGGTTTGTTTTAGTATTGGTTGTATAAGCTTTGGTATACATAACAGATGATAGGATTTACTGTAAATGTGTTGTTGTTATATATGGTATTAAATACGTGTAATTTACTACAGTGTAGAGATAGTAATTTATCTTCAGTGGACAGCTGACCATTCATCCTTTTAAATTGATACATGTAGCAATGATCGGTCTCTGTGCCAGGTACTCCTGCTGGACCATGTGACAATGACCTAAGCAATCAGGGTAGCACACCTGTGTTTACAGGTAAATAGTTTGTTTATCTTATTATACCTATTTTATATACTCAGACATGTGACTATAGCTAATTTCATTGAAATATTTTGGACTAAGCAGGACAAAACGATGAAAATGTAAGTGTTTATAATTTGATATGTTGTAAATGATTGATGACTACTAATTGTGTTTTTTTAAATGTTAGTATAAAGTCCTAAACGATCAATTTTAAGTTTAAAAAGTGATTTGTTTTTTTGTTGTTTTCTCTGTATTTGTAAAATGTAAAATCATTGAATGATGTTTACATAATTGCTTAGAAGGTTAATATTGGTTTTCTCAAATGAGAAATATACATTGAGTACAAGTCAGAAAGATCTCCTTATATTATAACAAGACAATCAGATTTAGGTCCAAAAATAATATTTGCTTTTCTGATTTAAACAAAAATATTTTAAATTCTCTTTAAAAATTGTATTCAGTTCTTGCCCATAAATTTTGAATAATTTGATACATGAGTAATTCAAACTCTGGCCTTCATTTTAGCATACTAATTTGCATTCACAGTGTAAAAACGTATGTAGAATAACGAATAAAATGGGTATTATTTCCATCTCAATTTGCTATTAAGCTATAGATACCCTCTTTTTTTATAAATATATTTTTCTTTGTGAGAATAATGTTCCAATTTCAGGGGATTGCTCTTTGGAGTATAACTTGTCCTGATTTAGCCATTTTGGGATGATGTGCTATTAACATGATTAAGCTATTTTTTGTATAAAAAAAATGAAAGTATTGCTATTAATTTTTTTTCTTTAAAAAATGTTGTTAACAATTGTCCTTGTGCATGTATAGTCATTTTGCATAGATATGACATGAAGCAGATATCAATCATCTAATCAATCTTTTAAGTATGACAGATAAAAACAAATAATAGAATAAACACTTAAATTATTAGATAAAACAACCATGTTGGCCCTGTCTCTACAGGTTTCAACTGTATTGAAAAACTCAAATTTGACTTGACTTACATACATAATATGTCAGAGGTCATTGTAATGTTACATCAAGTTATGATATGTTATAGATTAAAGGACAATATAACATTGATTAAGACAAATATCTACTGAGAGAGCATAAATATAGTTTTGAAGGGAAAAGTGGTGGAATCTGTTTTGCTTATGATTTTATGAAAATCTCATAGTACAATACATGTATTTAGGAAAAGAAATGGCGGGAAGTCATGCTCGATGAATTTATCAATATATGGTTTATCAAAAATGCATCCAACTATAACTGGTTAAACTGTTATAATGATAGTATACAAAGTATTATTTCTTTTCATAAAGTAGTCCATACTCTTCTAAATTATATGTATTACAGTATCTAATGAACCAAAACCCTTCCCTGATTTATAAGGCCCTACCATAGTTATAATATTTGATCTGAATTTCATATAAGTTCACATTTGATGAACTCTGGTGTATGATGTGACTGATGCTGATAGTGCCATGTTAGTTTCATGTAATGTTCTGAAGGAAGGATAAAGGAGCATATATTTTATATTTTGTTGTAGAAGTACTAGTCACTTTAGTCCACTACATGGGTTGATATGAAAATTCAAGCTGTTCAATTTCAAAACGAATTTATTGCTTTTGGATTAGTACAAAACTACAAATTAATCATTTTGTGGTTATAAATACATACATGTCAAAGGTGTAGCACTCTGTACGGCTGGTACAGGTTGGGCCATAACACTTGTTTGACTACATAATAGAAACCCTTTAATTTAAAAGTTCAGAATTCCTTATTGATCCTGAATTACTTGGAATATATAGGACCAATTGTACACAGAAGCTACACCTGAGGATGTATGACTTTGAAATGTCAGTAAGAATTTATTGCAATATAACAGTCAGAAATTGTTTTTTTTTTTTATTTTTGGAAGAAGGTTTGTAATCAGGAAATAAGACAAGGTATTTAATTGTTGTCTGTAAAGTACCAGTACACATCAACAGCATACCAAACTACTGATATTGTTGACTTGGTACCTGATTCTCCGATGTGTCATTTAGATAAACATAATGAACACTTTTACTAAAATCATTACTACTGAATTATTTTAGCAAGGACTTCTGAAGTAAAGTTTTACTTTTTACCATAACATACCCCACAGAGACCAACGACTGTGTATCTTTACGTTTTAATTGTATTCCGGAACATAAAACGCTAGAGTGACAAACTTAAAGTGATTTTAAATGACAAATTAGAGATTAAATCAGGTTAAATAAATAGATAAAATTAATAGGTCTCAATTCACAATGTTTTGATGACCTTTAATCTTGTTGACTTGTCTTTTTAGAATTGAAATAAAATACGGGTAAATTGTTTATCAGTACCAAAGGGCAAGTGTGGTCAATGTTATTTATCTGATGAGAATGTTTAATAGTACCCAATCTTTCTGCCTCAGCAATTGATGGGGACTATATAATTACTTAGTAGTTAAATTACTAAATGTCCCTTTTGAATTACCTATATGAATTTCAATCTGTAACAACCCAGTGATTTTCCTTTTAAATGAAAAAAACATTACATGTATCAATACTAGTGTTGCCTCATAAGTGTGTTATCAACTCCTCCTACTGTTTTTCCACTAAGAGCCTCAAACTTTCTAGAACATTAGTTTATAGTCTAAAAGTGGTACACATTTTCTTTTAAAAAAACTTGCTTTACAGCCCAGCAAGTACTTTTCGTAGAAGATAATAATATATGTATATCTAAAACTCTTTAAGATCAGACTACATAATGATAAACAGTACTTTGCAATACAAATAAGAATGCTGTTATCATAAGTATTAAAATTTACGATATTTAAATGAAAAATATAGTAATATGCTTTCTTTTTATTGCAGCCTTTGAAGTCTCCAAACAGAGGAAGTGATATTAGTATAGACACATCTGAAGCTGAAGAGGTATAAGATATTCATAGATAGTTTTAAATTATAAAAAAAAGTTCTATCAAGGTCCCAACCTTAAAGATGCTACACACTTATTTATTTATTCTTGCATATGTTTTAAGAGCAAGACAATCACATTTAATGAACTGATTAGTACTGTGGATTCAGATCTATTGGTGTGGTAATAATTTTCTTGCATTTGGTGGGTATGAGATCTGTAGCCAAAACCATGTAATCAAATATCAACAAGAGTACAACTTTTCCTCAATCCATTTAAATTTGCACCTGTAAAATTAATTGAATCCACAAAATATGATTTTTATTTGATAAACACCTGAATAAAGTTGAAGTCAAATTACAGAAAACACTGAAACATTTGGCTGCCATAAGAAGTTTTATCTGACATTCAATCGTGGGAGAATGGATAAAGATGCAGACTCCATTATAGATATACATATGAATCAATTATTTTAAGAAATTATGTAATCTTTAAGATAATCTAAAGGTTTTGGCAATTCAAAAACATTTATTTTAAATTTAAAAACTATAAATTTTATACCTTTCAGATCCTGAAAATTACATAATATCTGTACATAATAGTGCTTTACAGTTCAATGTCACGGATTTATGTATTTAATGGACATAAAATGCACAGGCAGATGTATTTTAATTCAATGCCATATTAACACACATGCACTCTTTCATTTAAATCAAATCAAAATTCTATCTTGCTTATTAAAGGGCCAATTTAGAGCATATAGGTTTTTTTCATCAATGCTGATCACAAAAGCAAAATTCATACAATATCCAAACATGCATCCTATTTCATACTACCTATTAATTATTAAAAGATTATTAAATCTCATTGCTTTAGTACTGATAGAATAAACAAACGTTTAATATCACACAGGACAACATCAAATGTCATGCACGGTAAATAACAAACCTGGGAAACAGTCAAGTTTTACTGCTATTCTTCATGTTATAAGTTTCCACTTGGAAAGTCTTGTGGTTAATAAATGTGCTTGCTTTAAGTACCATAGGTTGGGGGTTGATTTCCTGTTATTTCAATCTCAAAGGTTTTAGAATTGGTATTTTGTGCTTAACTGATAAGAAGGCAGTATTTTTAAAGAAAGACCAAAGACTGGTTGGCCTGGAGCAGAATAATGTGTATTGCTGGAAGAATGGCTCATCTAACACTGTTATCTGATGAGCTAGTACAAAGCATACCACATAAATACATTATAATCATTGATATGCATGTTTATATATTTGCTGTTGAACATTAAGCATTCATTAATCATTTATGTTGATAGCCATCAGAGGCATCTTAAATACTGACCTTATGTATTGTCGTTAAACTGTTTTCTTGTTTGATAGTCAACTGAGAAGGCAATGGTTGGTTTAAGACTTATCACTGCCTGTCTAGTACAAGGTCATACGATGAAGACATAATCTTTCAATCAGTTTAATTGAGGTCTGGAGCTGGCATGTCAGTAACTGCTAGTAGTCCTTAGTTTCTTCTGTTACCTTTTCTGACATCGGACTCGGACTTCTTTTAAACTGAGTTTTACTGTGCGTATTGCTGTGTGTTTGTTTATTCTACATCGGCTAATGGTATAGGGGGAGGGTTTAGATCTCACAAAACATGTTTAACCCCACCGCACTTTTGTGCCTGTGCCAAGTCAGGAGCCTCTGGCCTTTGTTAGTCTTGTATGTTTTTATGCCCCACCTAGGGGCATTATGTTTTTTCGGTCTGTGCATTCGTTTGTCCGTCCATTCGTCCATCTGTCCCGCTTCAGGTTAAAGTTTTTGGTTAAGGTAGTTTTTGATGAAGAAGTCAAATCAACTTGAAACTTAGTACACATGTTCCCTATGATATGATCTTTCTAATTTTAATGCCAAATTAGAGTTTTGACCCAAATTTCAAGGTCCACTAAACATAGAAAATGATAGTGCGAGTAAGGCATCCGTGTACTATGGACACATTCTTGTTTTAATTTTAGTTCATTTATATGTTTTGGAGTTTAGTGGGCCAGCTGAAGCCCACCTTAGGGTGCGGAATTTTTTCACTGTGTTGAAGACCCATTGGTGGCCTTGGCCTGTTTCTGCTCTTTGGTCGGGTTGTTATCTCTTTGACACATTCCCCATTTCCATTCTCAATTTTAGTGTTGTCCCTAGAGGGTTTATGCATGGTACAGCACCAACACATTTAGAATTTAAAATGCTCCATTACTATATAAGTATATAAGCTCCCATCCTTACAAAATTCATGACCACAATTTTTTCAGTCCATCCTACTTCCTTCACAAAATTATAAGGAAAACCCTACCATGCATAGAATGTGTCAGTTAACATAGAGCATTTGTATGAAAAAAAGATTTAATGAGAATATTACCATGAAGATACTTGTTGTTTTTAAGGATGATCCATTCACAACAGATTGGAGGAAATCTGTAGCTTCAGTATCAGAAAGGAAAACCTCTACCCAAAGTCTTCCAGGTACATATATTTAACATGATCATTAATAATGGTTGAATGCCATTCTTCCAGGTATATTCCATTGTGATTAAAAAAATGAAATCAACACTTTATATATGTCATACTTTTGACACGTTTTTCTGGATTTACCTTTATCCAGAACGCTCAGAGCCAAATATTTGAAAGCCAGTGATGTATAAGAACCAAAACAATTGAGAAGCTATATGACCAAAAAGGACCGAAAAATAAAAGCCAAATCCTTCAAAGGATAATATTTTTTGAAAATCACTTATTATATATATGTAAAGGAATTTGTTCAAAATCTACAAGTATTGGGGGGGGGGGGGGGGGGGGTCATTTCATTGTTGTTATACCAAAATGGAAATGACAATATGCCCAGGGATCTCCATGACCTGTTTTATGATGGCGAACCACCATCGTTAAATTATCTTCTGCCATTGTCAAATGATCCCCGCCATCGTTAGATTATTATCTTCTGCCATTGTCAAATGATCATCGCCATCGTGAAATTATCTTCCGCCATCGTCAAATGATCCCCACTATTGTCAAAATTTGTTTTTGTTTCGCTAGTCACTGCCATTTTTGTTAGCAATTATAATCAATTGCATGTAATTGCATAACCCTTATTGTATTATAATCCAAAGGGTCCTCCCAATTACAGTTAAAAAGCCCTGCAGGATATACGACTAAAGATCACTATCACTTGTACAGATAGATCGACACACCTGACATAAGAACACTTCATCAAGATAGACGATTACTTGCATTATTTAATTAAATTTCAGCAAATGCTAAAGGAAATTTTGATTAAAAAAGAAATTTGAAATCCAGCTACGAGGAAAAAAGTTTATCAAGTCGAAGATGCGCATTTATATTGACACGCTATCAGCATCCCCCTTTTTAAACGAGTACAAAAACAGAACATGATTGCATGCCAAATAACACAAGTACAACAATTATCGATACTATTGAATCACTTTACAAGTTTAAAAGTAAATACATGAATATTAATTGCAACTTGATAATCTGATGAAATTTCCTATCGTAATTCCGAATTCATTTCATAGTTTACAATCAAATTAATACATCCTGTTTAGAATTGAAAGATGTATGTAACATAGTCGATGACTCTGACATTTGCAGTTTAAAGTCATTAAAATCATTTAAGATGTAAACGTTTGCTGTCCAAATATTTTTTCAACGCTTTACAAAACGGGTACAACAGTCTTCTTGTTGTTGATGTTGCAAATCGTCAGTATTGGTTCATGACCTGAATTTGACAGTGAAAAAAAGATCGCCCCTGATTTTTAAGTTCTAAATAAATATCAAATAGCAAAAAAACGACTTGGGAACCTTCAGGACAGCTTGTGGTCATTCTTGACTAAGGGGGAGCCATGCAGGCTTGACATTGGAATTGTTACAAACAACAATTAATGAAAATATTTGTTATTTTATAATGAAATAAATATAATAAGCAATACATCAGTCTGTTCACCATTCCGTACATAGAAATGGAGGAATGAAATACTTTCGATCACGACACGCGGAAGACACAGGGTTTTGTCATGGTGAAAGTTTCTCCATCGTTAAATTATCATCCATGAATATCCCTGTATACCTTTGGTTTAAAACCATTGTTTTAGACATTGTTTACCAATCATACATTTAATCGTACATTTTTGAAAATATTACCCAGAATGGTATCAGTAAAGTAAAATTAATTGACAATGACTATAACTGCTTTATTTCAGTGGATAGAGTGAAATTAAAACTGATGGTCTTGTACTTAGATTTTATTTTCAAAATTTCTCAAAAAATATTGATTCTTAAAGTGCGTAGTTCAATCATCAATTAAAAATGCATATAAACTTGAAGTTCTTGTTTTACTTTTCATTTTCAATGCAATAGAAAATGTTATTAGAATGTGTTTTTGGTAAATTAATACTGATTTGGAAAAACATAAATGTGTAATATTATACAAAATCTTTAACTGTGACCTTATTATTACCTGAAATAATTCTGTACTAATTCTCTGATTAGTTACCTGATAAGTACACCTGCTTTATTAATAGATACAAAATATCAGGTGAATTGCTTATTACAGCAGCTGAAAAACATGTTATTGTTAAAAATATAAAGAGACTAGTGATCATTAAAACCTTCATTATTTTATTTGAAAACAATGTCACTGTCACCTGCAAAAAATGGATATAAATATGTTGTATGAGAAAAATGAGTCCTGACAATAACATAGGATTTATACACACATGTTACCAGTTCTATAACCAGAAATATTTGTTACATATATAAAAATATTTAGTGAAACACCAGCTGATCAACTGTAAAAAAGTAAATGTTAACAGAGGACATTGATTTTATTCTAGGAGATGTAAGTTTCTGTATTTATTGTATATTCTTTTGTTTATTTCCAAGTTGAATTCTTAAAAGGGCAATTTATTACAGAATTATTTTAACAAGGGTTCAAATTTGATTTAGATAATGAAAGTCTAGGACCATTCAAATTTTCAAGTGAAAAGCTCTCCTTAAGAAAGTCAAATTCATCATCCTACAGGATGTAGCTCAAAAATGACAAATCCACATAAAAAAGTCAGGTCTCAGAGTCAGGTCTCAGACTCAGGTCTACTTCGAACTCCTGCTTATATTTAAGTTTTTCTTTTTCTAATCCCAGCAATAGATTTACTAGTAGAAATTCTGAACTTCCGCTGTTTTATACAGAATATAAATCAAAAATTGTTTTTTAATATTCAGTTATGAATAAAAGGAACTGTGGGATATATTTGTCAATTTGACAGCAACCTAAAGACACAAAAATTAAAAAAAACATCTAAAAGGCTGTAGAGGGCAGTAATTTAGATTTTAATTTGTTTGAGGTAGGAAAGAAATGCTACAATGACTGACTCTTATTCATGCTGAGTTCAAATAAGCTTTAATTTCCATACCTGAGTATGGTTATCGCATTTATACTTCATAGCTTGGATTATTCAGAAGAAATAACTTCGGTGAAAATTGTCAAATTTTGGCATGAAACAGACAACATGAAATTTATTCAACCTGTAAGTGATTCTTCATATCAGAAGTAAATTTCTTTGGAGAAATATGAAAATTGCAAACAAGGCTTAATATGGTCAATGATTGTTTGTCACAAATGTTTATAGTCAGTGTAGTTTAACTTTGCAAATAGTGCATTTGCATTATGAACATTTCCAGACAAACAGATATTTTTACATTGATACAAGAATTTTTGTAGAAACAGTATAAGCATTACCAGTCACTAAATTGCGTTATAAGAGCTAACAGCAGCTGACCTCCTAGGATGCAAGAACAAATTGAAAATGTCATGCATGACTTATTGTTAAAATGTAGTGAGGTTTAGCTCTATATGGCATTATAATTTTAATAGGATTGACCAATAGTATTGCAAACATTTATTTTGTAGATACAGTAGAAATGGATTTAGATTTGTCTGCGATAGGAAAGGAAACATCAACACTGAGTAATGATGCTGCTAGACACAGGATATCAGTTAAACGTAACTTACCTAAGCGTCGACCTTCAGGCACTAGGAAAAATAAGGACGCTAAGGTGAATTAATTAGAAATATATTAACAAATGTTTAAGTTGTAAAAATTTCTTTTGAAAACTTAAGATGGAACAATTTTGAAATATTCTACTCAAAATTGATCATATTGTGAAAAATTTCAGGTCTCAAAAAACTAAAGCATGAGTAACAACCTAACAACTAAAAATCCATTGAAGATATTAACAAAGAAATCAAGTGCTCCTGTAATGGAGGCTGTGACACATGTTCCAATACTTGCAATGTATTATATTTTACTAACCATGAATACCTCTGTAACTAAGTTAAAATTACATTTTGGTGTACAGCCAATATAACTGGGTAGTCGTTTCTGTAAAAAAAAAAATACATCAGAAACATGTAATAAGTTTTCATATTGCTTTTTAATGGTCAAAATTTAATACTACATTAGATTTACTTTTTAAAAATTTGTCATGTGAATTTCATACACAAATTACTTTCACATGAAATACTTCATTTCGAAATCACATTATATTTTCATGAACTTCATTAGAGTTGAATTGATTATGAAAACGTCAGAATTGGTAATTATACCAGTTGTTGTTAATTTTCATTGAAAAGCTGTATCACTCAGTCTTTTCAGCTAAGGATTGTGGTTTTTTTCTGTATTTAAAAAAGACAAAATTCTAAAAAGAAAGTTATTCATATAGAAAATTTAACCCAAACCATTAATCAGTAACTAGAAATTACTGTAGCAGCAAAATGATATAAGTTTGTATATAGATATGTATGATTCCCAGTAAGATAAGTGTACAAATGACATGGATTTAAGCAACTTACTATCTATGTATGGCCTTCAACAATGAGAAAAACTAGAGTCAGCTAAAAAATACATGACAAAATATGAAAATCCAAACAAAAAAACCAACATCCTGATTTATGACAAAACAATTATCAAAAAACAAATATGAAGCTACCAATGACAACCACTAATTTCCGGCTTCTGACTTGGGGTCATATAGAATGTGGTGGGGTTACATGGGCTTCTTTTTTTATTTTTCAGAGAGCCTCTGCTGCTTCACCTTTACCTCAAGTTAAAGAGGAGTCACCAACTAAATCTGATGACCAGATATCTCCTGTGACCCCTGAACCCTTGTCTCCAAAGTCTCCAGTCACGCCTATATCTCCCAAACCATTGTCACCTAAACCAGCATCTCCTAAATCTGATCTCTTTAGTAAATTTGAGGACAAGATACCAGAGAGAACTCCTCTTCCAATAGTACAGAATGTTGAAGGTATTGATTTGTGTAACACAGGCTTGAGCTTTGTTTTAAAAAATGGATTGAATAATTTGGGGGAAATTCTCAGAGTACAAATAATCTCAAATATTGAAATTTAGACAGAATAAAATTGAATACAAACATGTATGTTATTCATATAGAAAATATAAGTAACCACTGACATGGGAATAGCCAATTGTTTAAAAAGGATTGAACCCTAAGTAATACAGCACAAAAACAGGACAGTCCTGTTTCTTGTACACAGATCATTTCAGGTGATAGATACGTAAATGGATGGGGAAATACAATACCCTTCTGGCAACAGAAGGAAAGCATTAGACAACATCAACTTTAAATAATATGAATAACTGTATGTTGCACAAGCCATGCCTCTTTTGGGGAGATATATAATATTCATAGATATTTTGTTTTTAAGTTTAAACTCTTAAAAGTTTGGGGCATATAAATGTTGAAAATATGACGCACAGCCCTATGTTTTGACCATTGAATAAAAAAGTAGTGCATATCAACTTTCCGTTCTAGGATACAATTTTTTATGAAACTTCTTAGTAAAAGTGGCACAGCTTTAGCCACATAGGGAGTTCATATGGGAAATTGCATTGTCTATATTTACAGAAGTCCAACCTCTATGAAAAACTACTAAAATAGGGAACAAAGTTATAGATCATTAAATCTACCATTGACAAAAGGTTATTGGCCAAAAATATTTTTAAAAATTTATGAGAAATCTGATAATAAAATTTTAATTGAAATATTCCAAACATTTAACTGCTAGTCCAATCAAAAATTTTAGCATAAAAAAGCAATACAATATAGCTAAATATTGATTTATTTGTTTTCAGTATAACATTTTATGCCTTACGTGTATAAAATATTCAAGAACGTTTAGAAAAAAAGCATAGTTATAAAAGAAACAACTCTGGGAACTGATAAACGGATGAAACCTAATATTTCACAGAAGTTCTGTGGGAAGTATTGATTGATGAATGTTACCTTCCCTGTAAATAAATATTTACATCATTGTTAAGCTAAGTCTAACATAGAAATTTATAACCAAAAACAAAAGGAAAAATCACTTTAATATTACTGTGCATTTATTGTATCTGTGAGGTTACAAATAGATTGATTAATTCATGGGTGTTTAAAGTTTTGTTGCAAATTTGTATGCATTTTCAGGACAATAACATGTTAATGTGATATGACAATACCTTGTACTAGACTAAATGCTAAGTGAAAATTTTAACATACAATCTAAAAAGGCAACAGTCCATCAAATGAGATAACACCCAATTTTAACGCTAATTTCTGTCTCAATGCCGACCAGTCTTTGCTATTACTTGGAAATGCAGGGTACTTGGAGGGCATACATAGCAAATACCAATTTTTGGTATTGTTGGGAATCAAATGTATAGCATCTGATTTTCAGTGTCAGCAAGGTATCACAAGACCGCAAAAAATGGCTTGCTGGCCATTGAATACTTAGTTCCTCATTTATCTAGGAATCTGATATCTTATATGAATATAATGATATAAGGGTTATACATCAATGACACAGCAACCCACCGACAAAAATAACCAAAAGCATCTACAGGGCACATTGGTTTTTATACGACCGCAATAAAATTTTGGGGTTGTATATTGCTATCACGTTGTTGTCTTTTTCCGAAGACATTTGGTTTCTAGACAATAACTTTAGTTTAAGTGTATGGATCTCTATGAAATTTAACCAAAAGGTTCAATACCACAAAAGGAAGGTTGGGATTGTTTTAGGGGTGATGGTCCCAACCGTTTAGGAATTAGGGGCCAAAACAAGCATTTTTCTAGTTCAGGACAATAACTTGTGTATAAGTATTTTGATTGCTCTGAAATTGTACCACAAGGTTCAATGCCACAAGTAGAAGGTTGGGATCCATTTTGGGGGTAATTGCCCAAACCGTTCAGGAATTAGGGACCAAAAAGGGTCTAAAACAAGTATTTTTTTAGTTTTAGACAATAACTTTTGTTAAAGTGTATTGATGTCTCTTAAATTGTACCACATTTTACAAAAAGAAAATTTCTTCAAATGTTATTTTTAAGCAGTTAAGCTGCTTTATGCGAGCACCCTAGATTTGTGTTCTACCCAATAAATGCTGAAATATGTGCCATTGTTATTATCTGGCTGGCTATTATGTTATTTATAACTAATTGAACACTTTTTTCATACTTTTAATTCTGGAATACAAAAAATATGACCAGAAAAACCTTAAATGATCGTCGAACCACCCAAAAGTTTTGAAGTTGCACATAGGAAGTAGTGCTCAATAGAAATCCTTATGTAGTTTATTATCCCCTGTGCTTTTGGCCAAGATGTCAAAGAACAATTGCATGAATTATTTCATCGCCGAAAATCTCTAATTACAAGTCGTTTACAGTTGCCAAATGGCACAAAGCGCAGGAATATTGTATAACGGCTGTGACTAATATGACACGGAGTTGAAGTCTCAGTTGGCGGTAATTTTAACTTCGTCGACAAAACGTAAATCAAGGACGTGTTAAATTTGGTGATTTCTGATAATAATCATTTTGTTCAACCGCTAGCTTTATACCGAAAATCGCCAACATGTTATGTGTAAATCCGAGTAAATCGTATCTGACTGACAAAAACAACATTGAAAAACAATGGATGCCATAAACCGGAAATGAAGACAATTATAATACCGGATCTAATTCCGGGGGCGGATAAGGGTAATTCCGGGTTTGCCGATCAAATACAATAAAAATATAATAATTCCAGGCATGAGACAAAATACATCTATCATGATGAAATATAAACTCTAGAATTGAAAACCAAAGATATATTGAAAAGAAAGAAAAAGCAGGAAATATTTTATACAGAAACTCAAAATTACTTTTAGTTCACAAATTTTCATGTCAAAAACCAATAAAATGTGACAGTATTTTCCTTATCATTAATAAATATTGATATTACATGTAGATGTTTTTATTGTTTAAACATATTACTACAATTCCATGAGGTAATTTCTTCTCAATTTTGAAGGGCCTATAAAAATCTGGAAGTTTCTTACTTTATTTTCACAGAGGAACTAGCTAATATAATATATAGTGCAACTAGATATGATACACTTAAACAGTTTTGAATTTGAACTGTTTAATATGATGGTATAATTAGTAATAAATAATCAATTGTTGAGACAACACACCCACCCACAGTGATACCCTCAGCCTCCCTCAGCCTTCCTAATACAAAAAAAAAGATTATTTGAATTCATAAATTAATATACAAGACAATTACATTTATTATTAAACAAGTTAAATGACAGTGACACTGACAATGAAACAAGCTAACTTAACACCAAAAGCACATTAAAGTATCTTACTGAGTTATGAACTATTTCAAGTAAAAGCAGGACCTGGAATTTAGGTTGTGGACCTTTCAGTTTGGAGTGTCAAAGGTCCTGGACTGTCCAGTACCAAATGTTAATTTTAACCCCTGCATTCACAGTAAAGCGATTTTGACGTGTATTGCAATTCCAAGTAGAATTTACTTTTGGACATTAAACGTTTCGAATGCGTATTAAACTAATTCAAATCAGTTAATAATGTGAATCGAATTCGAATTATGTGTGAACGCAGCATTGATATATCTAAGAAATGAAGAATATTAAAAAAAGATGGACAAAATATTTGTATTAAATTTGTTGCAATTTTTGTCTTGTGAGACATATATATATATATAGGCATGCTGTTTTGGCGGAATCAACAATGTATTAGTTTGTGATTTTGTGATAAGGTCTGGTTTCTGGTAGGTCAATGACATTTTGTAAGTAGTTGTTGTCGAGCCTGCGACTTTTGTCGCAGAAAGCTCGACATAGGGATAGTGATCCGGCGGCGGCGGCGGCGGCGGCGGCGGCTACGGCGGCGGCGGCGTTAGCTAACTTCTTAAAAGCTTTATATTTTAGAAGGTGGAAGGTCTGGATGCTTCATACTTTGTATATGGATGCCTCATGTTACGAAGTTTCTGTCAGTCACATGTCCAATGTCCTTGACCTCATTTTCATGGTTCAGTGACTACTTGAAAAAAAAGTTAAGATTTTTTGTAATGTTAGATTCTCTCTTATTATAAGTAATAGGATAACTCTATTTGGTATGTGCGTACCTTGCAAGGTCCTCATGCCCGTCAGACAGTTTTCACTTGACCTCGACCTCATTTCATGGATCAGTGAACAAGGTTAAGTTTTGGTGGTCAAGTCCATATCTCAGATACTATAAGCAATAGGTCTAGTATATTCGGTGTATGGAAGGACTGTAAGGTGTACATGTCCAACTGGCAGGTGTCATCTGACCTTGACCTCATTTTCATGGTTCAGTGGTTATAGTTAAGTTTTTGTGTTTTGGTCTGTTTTTCCTATACTGTATGCCATAGGTCTACTATATTTGGTGTATGGAATGATTGTAAGGTGTACATGTCTAGCGGGCAGATGTCATCTAACCTTGACCTCATTTTCATGGTTCAGTGGTCAAAGTTAATTTTTTGAGTTTTGGTCTTTTTTTCTAATACTATATGCAATAGTTCAACTATATTTGGTATGTGCGTACCTTGCAAGGTCCTCATGCCCGTCAGACAGTTTTCACTTGACCTCGACCTCATTTCATGGATCAGTGAACAAGGTTAAGTTTTGGTGGTCAAGTCCATATCTCAGATACTATAAGCAATAGGTCTAGTATATTCGGTGTATGGAAGGACTGTAAGGTGTACATGTCCAACTGGCAGGTGTCATCTGACCTTGACCTCATTTTCATGGTTCAGTGGTTATAGTTAAGTTTTTGTGTTTTGGTCTGTTTTTCCTATACTGTATGCCATAGGTCTACTATATTTGGTGTATGGAATGATTGTAAGGTGTACATGTCTAGCGGGCAGGTGTCATCTAACCTTGACCTCATTTTCATGGTTCAGTGGTCAAAGTTAAGTTTTTGAGTTTTGGTCTTTTTTTCTAATACTATATGCAATAGTTCAACTATATTTGGTATGTGCGTACCTTGCAAGGTCCTCATGCCCGTCAGATAGTTTTCACTTGACCTCAACCTCATTTCATGGATCAGTGAACAAGGTTAAGTTTTGGTGGTCAAGTCCATATCTCAGATACTATAAGCAATAGGTCTAGTATATTCGGTGTATGGAAGGACTGTAAGGTGTACATGTCCAACTGGCAGGTGTCATCTGACCTTGACCTCATTTTCATGGTTCAGTGGTTATAGTTAAGTTTTTGTGTTTTGGTCTGTTTTTCTTATACTGTATGCAATAGGCCTACTATAGTTGGTGTATGGAATGATTGTAAGGTGTACATGTCTAGCGGGCAGGTGTCATCTGACCTTGACCTCATTTTCATGGTTCAGTGGTCAAAGTTAATTTTTTGAGTTTTGGTCTTTTTTTCTAATACTATATGCAAAAGTTCAACTATATTTGGTGTATGGAAATATTTTATGATCTATTTGTCAGTCACACAGTTTTTTTTTTACCTTGACCTCATTTTCAAGGTTCATTGCTCAGTGTTAAGTTTTTGTGTTTTGGTCTGTTTTTCTTAAACTAAAAGCAATAGATCAACTATATTTGTTGTATGGAAGAATTGTTAGCTGTACATGCCTGCCTAGCATGGTTTAGTTAACTTGGTTAATAATAAGTTTATGTGACAGTTGTAATAAAGCTTTATATTTAGGACTATCAACATAATATCAATGATAAGTAAAGAAGGCGAGACATTTCAGTGTGTGTGCACTCTTGTGTTAGCATAGGCACATCTCATTACCATAGAGAATATTTGGCCCCACCCCCTTAGTCATGGTCTATTGACTTTGAAACTTTGCATAGTTTACATGTATATGTTTGTGATTAGGTCAGTTTAGGGGGAACCACTAGTGGTAGGTCAATGATATTTGGTGTGCAGTTGTATAAACTTTTTCATTTCTAATTTCCATTGAGATTATTTGGCCCCGCCCCCTCAATCATGCTCTTTTTACTTGGAAACTTATGTTACTTTGAAATTTCATTTATTAGTTTTCGATTAGGTTAGTATTAGGGAAACCAATAGTGGTAGGTCAATGATAATTGGCATGTAGGTGTAGAAGCATTAGTACGTCTCATTTCCATAGAGGATATTTGGTCCTCACCCCTCAGTCATATGCATGATCTATTGACTTTGAAACTTTTACTTAGTTTACATGAATGAGTTTGTGATTATTATGATTATGTCAGTTTAAAATTACCAGTAATCTTAAGTCAAAGCTATTTGGTATGCGAACGTATTGGTATTCAAAAGTTTCATTTCCATGGATATTATATAACCCCACCCCCTCATTATGGTTCATTGACTTAGAAATTGAATTTGTGTTTAGGTTTGTTTAAAGGGAACGACTTATGAAAAGTCAATGGTATTTGGTTTGCAGTTGAACAAGCATTGGCACCTTTCATTTCCATAGAGATTGTTTAGCCTTGTACCTTCAGTCATGGTTCATTGACTTTGAATATCACTTACATGTTAAAGTATTACTATTTTAAGTGTAACATTTGCATTATCAAAATAACAAATAGGCAAAACATTACGTTGTGTTAATAGCTTATTATAGATTAGACATGTGTAATTATTATAAAAATAAGGAGATGTGGTATAATTGCCAATGAGACAACTATCCACCAAAATTCAAATGAAGTGGATGTAAGCAATTACAGGCAACCGTACAGCCTTCAAAAATATATGTTGCATCATTGCTAGGCCATTATAACAACATCAGCATTTCTTGTAATACTAGTATACAAGAAAATTACACCATTTCAGATAGTTTCAGGTATGATTTGATAATTGTGCATAGTGGCACCAGCTGATCCAACTAAAAGCGCTAATATGACATATTCAAACTCTAGTACATAGTGGAATTAAACCATCCACCACTGTTGGGTAATTATGTAATTGAAATTATTATTCTGAAAAGAATATTCCTCCATGCAGCCTGCAACAATTAGCAAAACCTATACTGCATAGTAAGATATAAACGACCACGAAATGACAAATGTAAAACAATAAAACTAAAGCAGCCTGATTTATGTACAAAACAATTATGAAAAATAAATATGATATACAGCAACAATCAACAATCACCAAATTACTGGGTCCTCACTATGGACAGGTACATACAGAATGTGGCGGGTTAAACATGTTAGCTGGCACAAAACTCTCCCCTAACATGGGACAGTGTATGTGCATAATCTCAGACATTGAATCTTTAAAAAATAAATTGGAAATAACTTTTGAAAGTGGTAGGATTGGATAGCAGAAACATTACGGTACAAACATTATTTGATACTTGAGAAATAGCTGAGATATATAGATTCTACCACTGCATCGAGTGTGATACGATATTTATCCACTCGAGACAGTCACATGACAGTTAAATTTTCAAATTTAAAACGCGAGGCTCGCCGAGCGTTTTAAATATTTAAAATTTAACTGTCGAGAGTGGATAAATATCGTATATCACGAGATTTGGTGGTGGAATCTGTTTCTCTAATGATTTTCAAACAATATGCAGGCAAACTTATTCCGTCTTTTCGAATGATCTGTAAAAAGATGTGTTCTTTCTATGTGACGTCATCAGACATGGTCGCCTTTTTTTCATGCCGTCACAATAGGAAATTCAGAGGAAAGCAAGTAAATTCGACGTCATAATCGGATTTTAACCAATGAAGAACTGAGATCAAACGAACCACACGTTGATTAAATTTTTTGTATACAATGGGTGCAGAAAGGGATAAATTGACGAAGAATTAGAGAAAAATATTTTCATCCATTCTTCCGCTATATTCATCTTAACTTCTGCCAAGTTTACCTTTGATTTTTTTAATTAACTGCCTATAGCGCCTTTGGTGCTTTGATTTTGAAAAGGCGGAGGGGGATGTGAAAATAACAAAAAATGTCCACAAGATTTAAGAAATTGAAAAGAAAATTTCTTCAAATATTATTTTTTTTGGAAAAGGGGAGGGGGGGTGGGGGTTAAAAAAAAAATCTGAAAAGGCAACAGTCCACCAAATGAGATAACACCCAATTTAAACGCTAACTTCTGTCTCAATGCTGACCAGTCTTTGCTATTTTTTGGGGGGGTCAATTTTTTGTCCTCAAGATTTAAGAAATTGTCAATTTCAAAGACAGATTTACTAAGTACTGTGCAACAGCACAGTGTATTGCACAACAGCTTGGTGAAGCAGTTTATTAAGATATGATTTTATTTGAGCAACACAGTCTTCAGAAGGACTCCTTTTAGATTGGACTTGCTGAAAATAATTATTAAAAAGGGCATTTGATACAAAATGAAGTTATTCTAATATATTTCAGATATGCCTCCTAAAACACTTGAGCAAAAAAAGGCAGATGAACACAAAACTGTGATATCAATTGCACATGAAAGTGAAACAGGTCGTCATATAAGTTTTGGATCAGGAACTAAACTGAATGATAAACCTGATGATAAACCTCCTATAAAGTCCATGAGTCTAGACAGAAAGATGAATTATAACATGTCAGACTATTCAAAGCCAACAGATGATATACGTCATATTGCCAAATTATCACGGCAAAGACCAAAGAGTTTACATGACTCCATGTTACCATCAAATACTTCTGAGGCTGATTCAGAATTGTCTAAAACTTTTAATAAATTGAAGAAAAATTCTGTAAAAGAGGCAGAAAGTGCTATTCCAACTGACTCAAAGCAAGATACAGGATTTGTGATAGTTGGTAGTTTTAAAAATAAAGACAGAGACAAAGATATTCCATTTGGCGCTAGACGTCCCCAACCTAAAACTCAGTCTACCCCTTTCAATGAAGGACTTACTACCAAGCCTGAAGTATCTGCAACAACTACACAAGGTAAATCATCTTCGGCAAAATCTGATCTAGTCAACAAGCCAGCCATGTCCCCGACAAAACAGAACATAACATATGTTTTGAAAAAGGAACCTCTTAAATCTCAGTCCTCCTTGTCAGGGGATAAAAAAGACAGCTCTCCTTCAAAGCCAAATGTTGCCATGGAAACTAAATCAGAAAGGACTGATTCTCATAAAGATTCTTTGAAACAAACATTAAGTGATGGCAAAAAGGAAGTGGAAAAAGAAATCATAATTGATTCTAAAGGTGCTGAAAATACCAAAGATCCTAAATCAAACTATGAAAATGTCATTTTAAATTTTGAACCAGGATCCAAAAACAAAACTAGTGACACCAAAGAATCAGAAAAATTTAAGGACAAGGTTGTGATTATTAGTGCTGATGATAATAACAAAGATAACTCTTCTTTGAAGGGTCGTAATTCAAATTATGATAACATCATTATTACAACGAATGATGCTGCAGCTAACAAACTTGCATCACCTAGGGAAGAATACAGATTGAAAAGGGCGTCAAGAAGCCGTACACTTCCTGAGCAGCCAGTTACAGCTGATATATTGTCTGGTAAGGCTACGACCAGAAAAGATTCACTTACGCAAAGTTTCAGAATAAAGGAGGAAAGCATAAAGTCAAACACTATTTTAGAAACATCTGAAACTAAACCTGAAGATTCTAAGAAGCTCATGTCAGCTAGTATGAATGCATCTTACTCTACAGATTCTACTCAACCGTTATGGAAGCAAAATTTAAAGAAACGACAAGAAGATTCAAAGGAAAAAGAAACTGAATTAGCTAAGGATAAGGACAAAACACCAAAGCCAACTTTTACTGGAGGTAGACTCGGTTCATTTTCGGATTCTGTGAAGGAAAAATCAACACCAAAATCAGTGTTTTCAAGTGGATCATCAGCAGAACCTTCCAAAGATAAAGCAGTGCCAAAAGCTTCTGAATCTTCAGGTTTTAAGACAAGTTTTAAAGGAAGTAGCTCAGGGTCATCTGAGCCCCATAAAGACACAAAAGTGAACAAACCTTCTTTCTCAGGCGTCGGTTCTATGAACAAAGACCACAAGGACACAAAAAATAATGATAAAAAGACAGAAACAAAAAGTGATGAAAAATCTCAGATTTCTGCCTCATCATTTTCTAAATCTTTTGGAGGTTCAACAAAATCATCAGCTACTGGTCGTAATGTAAGTCTTGATACACCTAAAGGATGGAAATCTAGTTCTTCAAAAGTTAAAATAGAAATTATAGAAAAGACAGAACCAAGTGAAGAGAGCAGTAAACCTCCCACTGGTCGTACAACTACAGCAAAGAAAACAGAGGAGGTTAGTCATACAAGTTATTTAGAAAATAAACTTTGATAAACTTAGAATTTCTATAAAACTGCATGGATACCATGTCAGTGCAACTAAAAATATTTATTTTGTAAAGTAGTGGCTAACCAATCAATTGTATCTGTATTGTATAGGGAGCTTTTGGAGTAATATTTGAACAGCTATCTTTAGGTGAATTCACTTTAGATTTACCCGAGTTCTACCTGAGATATTTTGGTTTCGGCATCATTCTTTAACTCACCTCTCAATAAAATTTATAAAATGACCATTTGCAAGGAATATGGTTTACACTTGTATATAATTGTGAAAAAAAAATGTTCGGAATGATATATGTTCACATTAATAATTACATAATTTACAATTCCTTCAAACATAATTTTTCAAACCTGAACAACAAAAGAATAGCAAATTCTACTCTGATCCTTAAGATATATTAGTACATTACCTATAACTTAACTACTGACAATGATACAAATAAAAACAGGTTTAGAAACATTTCTAAATGTCTTTGAATAGTAGTATTTTATTACTGAGAGCTTTAAGATGAATGAAGAGGTAAGAGCAATAAACTGCATTGAAATATTCTGTAAAAATATAATAAAAAAACTTCTATTTAAAGCATCTTATTCATCAGAACGTTTTCAAATTTTTAAATTAATGTGTTTTTAGTGTTTATTTTCATTATTTCTGAGAGTTTTTAATGCAATCTCCATCCAAGTTACAAAATGTAAATTTTTATTTTCAGAAACCTGTGAAGACAGTACCAGAAAAATGTGTTGACAGAAAATCCAAGGTGTTAGATATGGTGAAGAATTTCCAGAATAACCTTCAAGTCAGCTAGTCATATTTACAGCAAGAGTTCTGTGCCTTGGTGGTTTACATTCTTGTGTAATCATTTCATAAGTAAAATGGATCTCCCTTAAAAAACAAAATAGCAATTTACTGGTAGTCCCAAACATGACATCATACAACAGTATTTCTGATTGGTTTACTGTTTGTTATCTATAAAAAAAGAAATCTTTATAAGAGGGTTATTATGATGGGATACCTTATATGACTCTTCATGATAATTAAAAGACATTTATTATGGATACAGACTCTTTCACAATTATTTTTTTTGCTAATAGTAGCAGTTCAAGATAGTTGGACAGGAACTTTGAAAAATTTTGGTCAATATAACATTTACAATACAGTGGACTCATAATTAGATGTCAGGTACCAATTTTCATGGGTTGAAGCAAACCACGAATTCAAATGTTCAACAGAGCGTAAATTTTCTACTACACTACATGCCATTGTATTGAAACTTTTGCAAAACCACGAAATCAAGTATCCATGAAAATACAATTTTTCTGCTATCCAAGAAAATTGGTAGCCAAGAAACTAAACGAATCCACAGTAGCACGAAAAACTTCCTGACCAATCTCTTTTTTTGTTCATACACACTATATTTATGCACTCTTATTTGGTTGTAATTTTTTTTTAAAGCATCTAGTAAAGGTATGGTATTCCGTTTCCCTCAAAAGTGATGTAGAGTAAGCTTATTTGGGAGATTGTTTTTGTTTCAAATGTACAATTTTTAATGAATATCAACAAAAAAGACTATATCCGGTATTGGTAACACTTAGTTCACACCCTATTACCGGTTATCAATACAGCAGATACAATAGGATATGTGTTCCTGATTGTCATTAAAAAACATTTTGCTATCATGTACAGCAGATTTTTGACTGCTTTTACAGCTGCCATTACAATACAATGGATATTGCAATTGTGTATAGCATATTTTGATCTGTGTTGCTGATTGCATCTGCAGTTCTGATAGCCGAAAAATAGGGTGTGATTTTGATCCAATTGCAGGTATTATTTTATTTAATATGTACATAATTTCCCTTCTGATATAGAAATAGTCTAGTTTATTGCTTGCTGTTAATTGAAAAATTTTATTTCTATTGAGTTGCTAATATTACATGCACATTTTACTATAATAATAGTCTGATATTTGTGTATAGAAGGCAGTAAAGTGAAATTTTCAAACTCAGAGACAAACTTTTTTTCATTTCTCTTCATTCGAATTCACAGGGGGTCAAAATAGAAACAAAAAGTTATATTCAAAATAACATATGGTTGTTTACTTAATCTGTATACTGGTTTTGTCTCTTGGAAGAAAAGTGATTTCTTGCATTTAAAATATATATTGTTTACCTCACCTGGGGTTTAATTAGTTTTTCAAATGATTTGTGGTGTATTGTATTTTGGAATGCATACAAAAGGGACATTAAAGTATGTAAGAAGTGTAGTATACCAAACTTTGTCTGTTACTGTACAGATCTAGTCAGAGTTACCTCCCATTTCTCAGTCAATTATTTGGAAGATATTTAATGTTAGTAAAAAACATAACCTGGATTATTTTAATTGGGCATTTTGCAACTATTGGCATTGACTTAGATCGATGTGTACAGTCACATAAGTATAACAATTTATGCAGCATATGGTATACTACATCTATATAAGTTTGTTTCATTTATTTTTTGAATTTGTTACAATTTTATGAAGTGCAATTATGATAAATATTATATTATAAGTTTATGTTTATTATGTTACCTGTCTGTATTGGATATCATAGAAAGTAGTAATATTTATTTGAGTAACTTTGTAAATAATCTATCGATGGACAATAGAATTGTTTAAAATATAAATTATTATGAACTTTGAAATTGTTGTTATACAAGCAAACCTTACTATTTACAAGAAATAAAATGGTATAATGTTTTCTAAACAAAATGTGCTGAACATTTAGTTGATTATTTGGACTAAAACTAAGAAAGGACAAGTTATTATTTTTTTTTCATTAGAGCAGGATATGTTATCTTTTGTTATAAGTAAAACTAATTAGTCTTTCTAGTGAATGTCTTTTGTAAAATTATGACTTTTTTGTAAAATCCTTAAATTTTTATAATTACTCTCAACATTAAAAGCTTTTTTATGATTCAGTCAAAAGCCATTGAGATCAGTGAACAAAATACATCATCAAAGTTTTCAAACCTGCAAACAAACAATCTTTTTGTCATCTGTTTACCTTGTCAAAAAGTTGTGTTAAATATAATCTGATGCTGGTCACCTTGAAAACTATTATCAAACAAAGAACAAATTGCGTGCACTATTTGTAACATCTAAACATGACAAAGTCAATTCATTCATTAGTGTATAAAACATCTTTAAATTATGTGAAATATCAATTGTGCCAAGGCAGAACCAAACATTTTCATGGCAAAACATTCCATTTCCATATAGTTTTATTAAAAAATGAATAAAGTGCATTATAAAAAACAATTGTGTATTCATATATTGTACCAGTTTTATTGGCTTTAAGCTTAACTTTATTTTCATAAAGTGTAGAAATTTTCTACTTTCAAATTTTGTCTTACATAATTGCAATTTAAACATTTTCTTTTTTTATTTGATTTTTCTTAGAGTTTCTGTGATATGTAAATTTTTTGTGATTTAATCTTTGTGGCAATCATATTTTGTAAATACTGCTTTTTGTGAAATCTGTGATTAAATATTCTCTCTTTTACTGTCATTTCAAGTTGATTGCATGTATTAATAGGTATGTGGTGTATTTTACGCAAAAATATTTGAGCTTTGTGGATATTTTTTTTATTTGAGAACGATTCTGTGTATCACAGTGCTGCAAGAGCTTAAAGATAAAAAGATTAACAGTGTGATATTTTAGTAGGCCACAAGCCAGTTAATATTGCCAAGTAATAATGTCTTTAGAAGATCTCACTTGTCCTGCAGATCTTGTAAAGAATGGGAAAATGTTTCACTTTTGTCGGCATGTGATATCACTATCAACTTATAACATCCATTATATGAATTCCAGATTTAAATATATAGTTGGAATTCCTCTTAAAGAAATATAAATATCCTATATGTATATATAAATATGTTACATAGTCCTGTAAATTATATCATTATTTCATATCAAGTTGTACATATTAAAAGTTGACAGATATTCTTTTCTCTTGCTTCTATCCATTTTTAAAATCTTTTTTGTTTGTCTGTATGTTAACTGGTTTAATTTGTTGACCAGATATTGAATGGTTGTTATTCTTTGTGATACACTGCCAGGTGATTGTGATGATATTACATACCTATATATATAATACAACCTGTGGAGATTGTATATTTAACCAAAAATCAAATATTCTAAGATATGAGGGTCTGGATGGGGGGGGGGGGGGTCTTCATTTCTGTATTCTTTAATTATTTAGGCCATTTTTCTCTATTCTTTATATTTGAGCACCTCGTTATTCTTTATATTTTTTGCCCATTATGCTCTATTCATTAAACCCCCATCCACAAACTCAGATATGGAGTGGTTCAGAGAAATTTTAGACATGTCTTATCACTTAATACAGTTTCCTCAGTAATTTCAGAAATGACAGCTTCTCACTCCCTTTAACTTCTATTTTTTTTTTACTTACCATGTAAAGAATCTAACCAAAGTACTCTTTAAATTATGACAAAGTCAATTCATTCATTTAAATTATTTTTATATCCTTCGTTTTCCCTCAATTTTAAGTCATAGATTCCAATGTATATTATTATACTGTTCATTTATATAGAGATAAGTGAAATGACCGCACAATTTTGACTACTTCAAACTGAAAATTGTAGCAGAAGTTTACTTTTGCTTCTCTAATTGGTTGTAAATATAATATTGAAAACCTTTACTATTCTGTAATCTACCTAAAAAATCTACCTAAAAATTCCTTGCAGTTTGCATATCACTTGAATCAGATTGTGAACATGGTCTATCTTTACTGGTTGTATTTCATTTTATCAAGCTGTGTACTTGGTCAATTTTCACTGGTTGAATTTCATTTTCATCAGATTTTGTACATGGTCAATCTTGACTGGTTGTAATTCATTTTTATCTTAGAGTACATGGTCAATTTTCACTGGTTGTATATGATTTGTATCAGGTTGTGTACATGGTCAAGCTATACTGGTTGTATATCTCCACAGGTTGTATATATCATTTGTATAAAGACTGTGTACATGGTCTATCATCACAGGTTTTAGATCATTTGTATAAAGGCTGTGTACATGGTCTATCATCACAGGTTTTAGATCATTTGTATAAAGGCTGTGTACATGGTCTATCATCACAGGTTTTAGATCATTTGTATAAAGGCTGTGTACATGGTCTATCATCACAGGTTTTAGATCATTTGTATAAAGGCTGTGTACATGGTCTATCATCACAGGTTTTAGATCATTTGTATAAAGGCTGTGTACATGATATAACATTGTACAATGATACATGTATATTTATATATATATACTGAAGATTAAAAAGTCATTATTCATACTTCCTTGTCTATGTTTGATTTATAAAATATATGGTTTAAATGTGTCAAGTCATGTTGTCTTAAACTTTCTTTTGACATAAGGTTGAAAATTTACAACCATAGTTATTAGTATAGCTTGTGAAAAATATATAAAACAAATAGAATGATACAAAAACCAATAACTGTAAATTCAGAAATTATTGAGTGCATTTAATACTGTGATTTTTGAAGAAAGGACGAACATGTGTGATTAATTATTGCGATTTCAGGCAAATCTGTTTACAGTAATATGTATCAGATATCAGAATGCAAGTTATTATTGCGATATTCACCCAGTCGCATTATTTGCATTAATAAAAACTTTGCAATAATTTCTGAATTTACAGTATGTTAAAATGGAATAAAAAATAAAAAAACAGAGGTCAACACATGAATTAGACAAATCAAAATCCGCAATAGATGTACAAAATGAATATTGTTTTTGTCTCGCCTTGACAGAGTCAAAAAGGGAGACATAGGTATGCTGTTTCCAGCAGCGTCAGCTGCGTCAACAATGTATTAGTTGGTGATCAGGTCAGTTTATAGGGAACCACTAGTAATAGGTTGATGATATTTGGTATGCAGTTGTATTAGCATTGGCACATCTCATTTCCATGGATATTATTTTGGCCTGCCCTCCCAGCCATGGTCTATTGACTTTAAAACTTTTGCTTAGTTTACATTTATTAGTTTGTGATAAGGGTCAGTTTATGGGGAACCACTAGTGGTAGGTCAATGATATTTGGTATGCAGTTGTATTAGCATTGGCACATCTCATTTCCATGGAGATTGTTTGACCCTGTACCTTCAGTCGTGGTTCATTGACAAAAAGGCGAGACATATCTCTGTGTTAACAGTCTATTTATTTCTAGCTGAAATTCAATCTTTGTTGAAGTTTCTCTATTCACAGAAATTGATTGAGAGTTACCGTATACTGAAGTTTTCATTACTAACAAGTATTTTTACTGTGAAAGTTGGCGTCAGAAAAAAGGTCCTATTTTGAAGGTCCATATTAATTAATCTCATGTTTAAATGCGAGGATTTGTTAATTCAAGAATATGAAATTACAGGGGAAACCATCCTGACAATTAGCAAACTGATTTAAAATTACTAATTCTTGAATAATGATATAATAATAGTATGATCCCACAAAACTTGATATTTAGATACTTTTAACCAGGATGTTAAGGGCAAAGAACAAATTGCATATATACCTTTAAATAGCTTGTATTTTCCACTATTTTTGTGCGACCCTTACATATAAATGTGGTAACAAAATTTAGATATACTCAAATATTTTGTTTTTGGACATTTTTATCTGTTGGGCAGAAATACCTAACTTTTTTGTTTCAAAAGATAAAAAGCATTTTATGGAAAACATATTTGGTATCTCTTCTTTTCATAAGTATGCTCTAAATTTGTGTAAGAATTCTATAAAATAATTCATATCAAAAAAATTTTCATGATTTAAAAAAAAAAAGGCATTTTTTCCTATTTACTTATCCCATTTTGAAAAATTTATTGATGATGTTTTCATACAAAATTGGTATAAATGATCATCCTACATAATTTACCCAATAGTGATTTTAAAAAATCAGGGGTCCATGTTCTCGCTTTCAAGATAATGTTCAAAATCAGTGGGAAAATGCATCTTTTCCCAATATGTCACATTGTGATGTAGCGAAAAAGAACATATGTTTTACATTTGTGATGTTATTACTTCCCCTGTAGCTGTATTGTATGCCCATGCTTATCTGTGTAATGTTGTATTACAAAAATGTATTAGGTCCCCACTGATTCATCTGCGGAGGACCTATAGGAATTAGCTTGTTTATCTCAAATTGTTTCCGATCTTTAACTTTCAAACCCCTTGGAGTTGAGGAACAACTTGACATGATTATTCACCACTTCTAGAATGTGTGTCCTGTTTCAAACCCCTTGCAGTTAAAGCCCATGTAAAAATGATATGCTAATGTGACATTACCAATGGTTTCAAGCATGTTTTATTTGGTGTGTGTATGAAAAAAGTATGACTAACAGACCAATATGTTAAGTGCTCTGAGCATCCATGTATCCCAATTTCAATTGTCCTTGGTATTAATGATTTTAATAGTATATCTTACTATAAAATCCTGGTTCGTATGCATGAAATATTTACTTCTAAGTGTAAGGCAAAACTGTAAATAACAGTTTCATACTGTACAACAAGGACCTAAATCCATTTTGTTGGTTCATGTAACTAATATTTTAAACATTTTTTAACAATACCGTAGATGCATTTGCAACTGAATCTCTCATTCTGTGCGAGTCTCAATGCAATGTTTTCTTAGTTCAGTGATTAAAGTTAAGTTTTTGTGTTTTGGTATGTTTTTGTCTCGCCTTGACGGAGTCAAAAAGCGAGACATAGGTATGCTGTTTCCGGCGTCAGCGACGGCGACAGCGTCAACAATGTATTAGTTTGTGATCAGGTCTAGTTGATGGTGAACCACTAGTGGTAGGTCAATGATATTTGGTATGCAGTTGTATTAGCATTGCCACATCTCATTACCTTGGAGATTATTTGGCCCCGCCCCCTCAGTCAAGGTCTATTGACTTTGAAACTTTTCATAGTTTACATGTATTAGTTTGTGATTAGGTCAATTTATGGGGAACCACTAGTGGTAGGTCAATAATATTTGGTATGCAGTTGTATAAGCATTGGCATATCTCATTTCCATGGAGATTATTTGGCTCCGCCCCCTTAGTCATGGTCTATATGCTTTGAAAATTTTGCTAAGTTAACGGGTATCAGTTTGTGATTAGGTCAGTTCAAGGGGAACCATTAGTGGTAGGCCAATGTTAATTGGTGTTCAGTTGTATAAGCATTAGCACATCTCATTTCCATGGAGAATATTTGGCCCCGCCCCCTCAGTCATGGTCTATTTACTTTGAAACTTTTGCTTAGTTTACATGTATTAGTTTGTGATTAGATCAGTTTAAGATGAACTGCTAATGTTAAGTCAATGATATTTGGTATGCAAATTTATTGGCATTTGCAAGTATCGTTTCCATGGAGATTATATAGCCCCTCCCCTGATCATGGTTCATTGACTTTTAAACTTTTACATAGTTTACAAGTCAATGTTTGTGTTTAGGTTGGTTTAAAGGGAACGACTTATAATAAGTCAATGGTATTTGGTATGCAGTTGTATTTGCATTGGCACATCTCATTCCATGGAGATTGTTTAGCCATGTACCTTCAGTCATGGTTCATCGACTTTGAATATTTGCATAACTTACATGTTAAAGTATTGCTATTTTAATTTCAACATTTACATAATCAAAATTACAAAAAGGCGAGACATATCTCTGTGATAACAGTTTATTCATATGCCGGTACTGTATGCAATAGGTCAACTATATTTGGTGTATGAAAATATTTTACGATGTACATGTCAGTCTGGCAGGTTTTATTTGACCTTGTCCTCATTTTTACGGTTCATTGCTCAATGTTAAGTTTTTGTGTTTTGGTCCGTTTTTCTTAAAATATGAGCAATTATAGCTCAACTATATTTGGTGTATGGAATTATTGTAAGGTGTATGTGTCTGTCTGGCAGTTATCATCTGACCTTGACCTCATTTTCATGGTTCATTGTTCAATGTTAAGTTTTCCTGGTTAAGTTTGTTTCTTAGATACTTTGTGCAATAGGTCAACTATATTTGTTGTATGGAATGATTTTAAGGTGTACATGTATTTCTGGCTTGGTTTATCTGACCTTGACCTTATTTTCTATGATCATGTTAAGTTTATGTGATACTTGTAGTAAAATGTTATAGTTAGGACTATCAGCATAAAATCAATGGTCAGTAAAGCAGGCAAGACATTTCAACATGTGCACTCTTGTTCCTATGAAAAAATTGGTGGAAATAAAATCAAGTTTGTAATTAAAAGAATAAAACTAGATTAGATTTTGTTTTGATTGATTACCATTAATATAAATTGTATGTGAGAGATTAGTAATTCATTATCTAAATGCTATAGTACGAGCGTTACTTAGTTCTTATGATGAAGCAAGGGATAATATTTCTCTTAAACTATTTTAAAATTCAAATATCTTATTCAACATGCACAGAACACATTTCGATGATATACGTGCATTAAACGCAAAATTTAAATGCTAACTTATTGGCCTCAGTGATAAAGACATTATATATGATTGATCAAGCACGTGTGTGCTAGTGGCAATATAAGAATCGGTACTTTGCACCTGTAGTGGAATTCTTTTTTATGGTAAAATTCATCATATCATTTCAATATCTAATTTACATAAATAAACCATAAGAATGCATGCGTACAGATACTTTTAACCACAAAGGATACTCTGTAATGGGGAAAGTCTCTAGGAATAGGTATAAACTAAACAAATACACGAACAAATACATTATCATAATTTTAATGAAAAGATTCCAGCGGGAAAGTGGTAGGGAGTTGTTGCCGGAACCTTAATATAAATTTTATGGTTGCACTAAAAATTCGACTTACAGATCGAGAGATGCAGGACATCGGGATGCGAATCCGACGGCGATGTTACCGAAGTATATAAAACAAAAAAAATCAGATGCTAGTAGACCAGGATGCGTCATACCTTGTATATAGATGCCTTATGTTACGACGTTTTTTTCTGTCACATGTACATTGTCCTTGACCTCATTTTCATTGTTCAGCGACTAAAAAACTCGGGTTTTTTTTGTCGTGTGAATTTCTCTTTTATTATAAGTAAAATGATACCTTTTTGGTTAACCCCATATAATCTTTCATTCGTAAACAAGGTAAGATGTTGAATAACGACGAGTAACCATAATAAAAAATTCGTAAGGGTTCCGCGGAACCCAGTGTCTCGCCTACTTTTGCTGTTAGTCGCAGGCTCAACAAAAATGGGGAAAAAATTATTAAAAAATTTTCCTCTAGATACTATCTTTTGATTGTAAGAAGTTATGTTCAAGTTTAGTAAAAATCCAAGAAGGTTTATAAATCTAATAAATGTTTTAAAAACTTTAACTGCAGACTGTACGTAATGTTAACTGGAATAAAACTAAGTCCATCTATAAGTAATATACGGAAAACAGGAAATAAATTTTTTTCTAGATACTAGCTTTTGATCATAAAGAAGCTTCTGTCCAAATGTGGTACAAATCCAAGATAATTTAAGAAAGTTATTAAAATTTGAAAAACTTTAACCACAGAGTGAATGTTATGTTAACTGGCAGAAAAACTCAGTCCATTTATAAGTGAAATACGGATAAACAGGATTTTTTTTTTTAACAAAATTTACTCTTGAATACTATCTTATGATCACAAACAAGTTTCTGTCCAAGTGTGGTACAAATCCAAAAAGTTTAAGAAAGTTATTAAAATTTGAAAAACTTTAACCACAGAGTGAATGTTATGTTAACTGGCAGAAAAACTAAGTCCAAATATGAGTAAAATACGGATAAACAGGATTTTTTTTTTTACAAAATTTTCTTCTGTATACTATCACATGATTATAAACAATCTTCTGTCCAAGTTTGGTACAAATCTAGGATAGTTTAAGAAAGTTATTGAAATTTCAAAAACTTTAACCACAGAGTGAATGTAATGTTAACTGGCAGAAAAACTAAGTCCATTTATGAGTAAAATACGGAAAAACAGGATTTTTTTTTTTACAAAATTTTCTTCTGGATACTATCTTATGATCATAAACAAGCTTCTGTCCAAGTTTGGTTGAAATGCAGGATAGTTTAAGAAAGTTATTAAAATTTCAAAAACTTTAACCACAGGGTGAATATTTGTATACGCCGCCGCCGACGACGCCGACGCCGACGGAATGTAGGATCGCTATGTCTCGCTTTTGCGACAAAAGTCGCAGGCTCGACAAAAAGGCACATCCACCCGATATCCCTGTTGATACCGTCGGTAATTTGTCTCCGTTTTATATTCTTCTTTGATCTTCAACAATGTAATATAAAAGACGTTGTTTTTGTTGGGGTGTATCAGGGGCGGATCCAGCCATTTTTAAAAGGGGGTTCCAACCCAAAATAAAAGGGGGGTTCCAACCATATGTCCCTATTCAAAAGCATTGATCGTCAAAAAAAGGGGGGTCCAACCCCCGTAACCCCCCCTGGATCCGCCACTGTGTATAATGCTGCATTGCAATAGAAAATAAGGAACAGCTGTATCTCCAATTTGCCCACGAAAAGAAATAATGCATAGTGCATTTCTTCATTCAATATGATAATGCTCCGTGCATGTAGAAAGGGTACAACTCTTTGAAGGGTAAGTATGTGGGCTGTTCGGTGGCAAAATTCAAGACCCTATCCAAACTCTCATTTTCCAGCTGCAGTCCAATGTCCCCTTATTTTATGTCAAACTAAGGCCATTTACAAAAAGTTTGTCAATCTTTTCTAAAATTGAGAGCTACCAAGGCTTCATTTGTGTATTCGGAGATTGTAAAAGCACTATGTCGTATTTCTTATTACAATGACACGATGAAAAGCCGTTAAATATGACTTAAAACGGCAATTTTGAAAGATTATGGCAAAAATCATCCACAAGAAGAATAACAGAAGCCACGATTGTATTAGAGGTAAATCTAATTAAATTAATAGTTTATTTTTATTAATATAAAAAAGGAGATGGGGTAGGATTGCCAATGAGACAACTATCCACCAAAGTTCAAATGAAGTGGATGCTAGGAATTATAGGCAAACGTACGGCCTTCAACAATGAGAAAAACCCATACAAGATTGTTATTCCATGCAAAATTTACCAAAAATATTAAAAATGCAATTTTGTCTTCTGCAGTTTTTAGAGCTTAATGACATTTAAATTCATAGATTTTTATAGTTATGAACATACCCGGTATGCAACTAATGGAACGCTCAATCACTTCTCTATTTTTGAAACCTTACTTACTTCTAATACTGAGACTACTATAACACATATATATAGTAGTCTCAGATCTATACCATGGTTGCCATTGGACTGCAAACTTCATTTATATGTAGATATTATTGATTAAATTGTTTTATTTAAAGTTGTTGATTGTGTCTTAATTATACGTTTAAAATTTTCTTTCGTTTGGTTGCATTCGATTCAGCTGATAATTTAAAAAAGGTCAACTAAAGTCCAAGAGCCTGGGTTAGTTTTTATTATAATATTTATATCATTAAGGTTGCCTTTTCGACGGTTGTTGTTATCAATAGAAACCTGTATCGAATCAGTATCAATACCGTTTTCCGCTATTACTTATTTACATCCATGTTTGTACAATGATTTCAGATAAACGCTATCAGTAACAATACTTAACAATCAGTTGGGTCCTATTAATGTAATATAAAGGACTTTATGGGTTGTAATTTTAAGTCCATATCCGTAGTTTTATGGCGTAAATGTGAAAAATCTCACACAATAGGTGCTGAATATTTGTTCTTGTGGTTTCCATGACAAAACATCGCTGCACGATTCCTTCAAGGAATGTACTTGTAAATGTACAATTTTTCACCAATATTCATTCTTTTTTGGGGGGTGGGGTTCTCGAGACAAAAAATTGTTTTAAAGTTTATTCATATCTAAACTATTTATTTCAATAACATATAGGAAAAAGAAAAAAAAATTGAAACTCAATATCTAACGGTATTTTTTTTCCTGCGAATTTTCAATATAAAAAAACTATTGTGTTTCTCTTCCCTTCTAAAACAATTGTTTTCTTCAAATAATTTAGAATCAAACAATGCATTTAAAACAAAAAGAAAAAGAAAAAAGAAAACTGTTTGGTACCTTATTATATATAGCGATAATATTAATTATAAAACCAGAAGTCTTTCTATTAAAAAAAAAACCCACAAAATTCCGGTTAACGACAATACAAAATCTAAGTCTTTAGAAAAAAAACTTTTTTGTCTTTCTTCATATATCTGAGCAAATAACATTTGAGAAGAAGCATTGTTGTCATAGTAGCAAGCAACATGCACAACATAAATCACAAGACTTATAGTTAAACCTTTTTATTCAAAATTACATACATTTTACAAAAAAACATTAACAATTATAAATACAATGTAATTTGCTTTAATCAGCACTTTGGTTTGACAAACATAATGAAAATGAAAGACTAGCTTCATGTCAACAATACTAATCTGAAACCAGTCATAGCCACTTTCTCATTCATAAACAGGCAATCAGACTAGCTACGTGTCCAAGATACAGAACTGGAACTACAGTCATGGACACTTACTCATTAATAGATTTAACAGGCAACCAGACTAGCTACATGTCCAAGATACAGAACTGGAGCGACAGTCGGTAAAAGTAAAATATTACAAGGTATGGCGGAGTGTTTTATTTTACAGTGCTACATGTAAAAAGAAATAATCTCATTTTCTCTTCTGATCTCTATATTTAATGTGCAACTTGCTTATATTAATTAAAACTAGTGGCAACTTAAAATCAAGAGTTTACTGAATCTTATACACAGCCTCCAGTGATGTCAACAATGTAAACGTTAACATCCAGTGCTGGCAACAGTGAATGGTTAACCTCCAAGGATGGCCACAATGTAAACGTTAACCTCCAGGGCTGGCAATAGTGTAATTGTTAACCTCAAACGATGGCAACAATGTAATGGTTAACCTATAGTATTGGCAATAAGGTAAATGTTACTCTTTACAAGCTGCATGACATTTGCAAACTACTTAATTATGTTACATGCCTGTCTTAAATAGACTTAATCATCTCTGATGTATAACACGTGGTAAATATGATGTACTTTGAAAGAAAAGAAATCATAATAAGAATCATTTTGAAAATAATTATCGGTGGACGTTTAAAGCTTCAAAACACCATTCTCTAAGCAATTTTGAAGTAAAGCTGAAGGTCAAATAACGGTTCAATTTTTTTAGGATTTTTCTGACTGTCATTATTTGACCATGATTAGGGGTTAGTGCTTCCAGTACTGAGAGACGGTGTGTTAATAATAACCACCGAAATGTAACTACAAAACAGGAGATCTTAAGTTTGATAAAAAGTACAAAAGAATCAACAAATTCGGTTATATGACGCACAAAGAGAGGTATTTTCTGCATGCAAAATAACTTTGAACAAACATTAATGTATGGGCAAGGTTCGTTAGTAACATCTCGGGCATTAAAACTGTGCATAAAAAAGTCCAGCTTTTCTATGTTCAGGCAAGGATTGCACAACATATTAAAAAAATCTTTAGTTTATTCAATATACACGTCGTTATTCTTGTTGGTCCAGACACATATCACATCTTTGTAAACCATTTTCATCACACTGCATACAGCGAAGTGAATAGAATTCTTCCGTAAAAAAGTTCCTCTTTAATGACTTTTTACTACCATGACAATGTATGCATGGAATATACCTGTATCCACCACATTTTTCACAATGAGATTTCACATTTATTTTCTACAAAATCAAATTAAAATACATATATTGGTGAAAATGTTTTCTATTTTAATGAAATATTTTTAACAAAAAATTTGAATGATTGAGGCCATGTCTAGTTTTGTTTAAAAAGGAGCAAACAAATTCAAATCATAAACTAGACATTCTATACAGATAGATTGGATTTTTTAAACAAAAACTAATTCTTGCCCAAATTTATTCAGCAAACTGAACATGAGTATTTTAAGTATTCAGTTTATTTTGAACCACATAAAAATTTGTGATGACTAATGCGTCAAATCCCCTTTGTAAATGATATTCATAAGATTTTTTCAAATATTTTTTGTATTTGTTTTTTGTTTTGTTTTTTCGGTTTTGATACATCAAACAGACACACAAAAAAACCCAGAAAAAACGACTTTGGTCCTTACAAACACAGGCAATTGTCTCTGAAAGTATATAGGTAATTGTTTTCAGAGACAAGTGGCAGTGTTTACAAACCTGAACGACAATATTTTTGACAAATGGATACACACTTTTGTATAAAAAAAAAACGTATCAAAAGTCACATGCGTGACTTCTTTATCCTCTCCTCTGAAACCCCATCCCCTAATCTTTTTCTTTAAAAAATCTACTTCTTTATACCCCTGATGCTTCTTACATCGGCAGTTAACTTCCTATTTATCAATTATGTATATACCTGAACATATTACACGTGTGATATTTGTATACCTTAAGGCAAAGGTGGACCATTACTACATGTGCATTATTCATAAATCCATTCGAGTGGATTGTTAATCTGTCATAAGAAGAATTTTCCTGTTTGTAGAATACTTACTGAGTGTTTATCGAGTGCTCTTTGATATCTAATTTATTGCTAAATAAAATATTTAAAGGTAATCAAATGTAGAAATCTCGGTACGCTTAACTTTAATTGTCTTACCTCAAAATGTTCTAAGATTTTCTTTAGTTCCCCAATTTCGTTTAGTTTTTCAAGTTCATCTTCACTCTGAAAAAAAGACAGATATAATTTTTTGACAGACATACTTCCATAGTGTAAACGTTTTTTATCAACCACCGGTCAGAAGCAATATATCAACACTTTCTTCATGGTCAAAGGTCGGAAGGACCCTCCCTGACTAACTACCTCCAAGTCAAATTGTCCATAGATTGTTTTGGTTGTACTGTTTTGACAGTCTTGGTGTTTATGCTCTCAAACGTTTTGTGTGTTTTTTGGCTTTCTAATCCTTTGGCCGGGAGCGTACATGATGAGATGTTTTTCAGGGCACCAATTTTGATTTATGTAGTATGGGTATATTAACTGTATTGTCGATAAAAGTATCAATATTTCAACAGCATGAAGAGTTCTTGCTTGGGTCTAATTTAAATGAAATTTCAGAACTTTTATAATACAAGTAGTTCTCATCATTATTGATCTCAAACTTGAATAAGTGAAATCAACGTTTAGCCAAACGAACACTTGCATATCTTATCTACTTATGCACACCGGTTTACTGCGCATGTTCGCCACCACGACATGCAGAAACACCTAATACTTGTTCCACTATTAATCATAGTCACACTTTTTTATATAACATTACACATCGATGATATTGCACTGCTCTGTAAGTCTAAACGTACTGAATTGCTTTTCGTAGAAGAATCAAGTATCAAACAAACTTCTAACTTGTCTGACGAAAGTCAATGCTAGCTATGCACGTGACTTACCCCTAATAAATTTCCATCGGCGAACACCTGTGGCAAAGATATCACGTTACTTCCCAAACGTTCCATTAATTCTTTTTGATTGTCACTATTCATAAACAAATCTTTTTCTTCATATCTAACCATATGATTTTGTAGAATCTTTTTCACAATTTTACATCGTTCATGAGTTTGTCTCACTACTGTCATACTTGTTGTATATATCACAATTTTTCCTATTTCTTGCTCTCTTATCTTTCTCTGAAATTAAAAAAAACAATGTTACTTTAATACTAAATTGGTCTTTATTCACTTGGAAAAACTATAAACTGAGCACCCAGTGTTTCTTACACATTGTGTTATTTAACTATATCAGCAAACAGTTTTAGTCTTTTTGGCAGTAAATTAAATACCAGTTATTTCTGTTTTATGTTTGGTTCTAAATACTCCAATTAATTACCTCAGCGGAAACATTTTAAGTAAAACCAGACAATAAAGGTCATGGCCTACAGCAACAGCAAATATGGCAAAAGACAAACTGTTACACTTGACTATGTCACTGGCTAAAACCTAGTTGATATATTTATATACAGTGGACACACCATACAATTATGCATTAATTTTTAGTTGCAACAAGTTGATTTCAGGTTCTGTCTCCTCTGAGCAAGACATTTGTCTGTTGTTGTTGTTTTTTTTTTTATTTGCTGCCTGCCTGTATAGGTTTTCTTCACTGAATGAAGCCCTCAACAATAAAAATTAGTTCTTCCTCGTATGTTCGTAAACCAACTGGTACACCAATGAATCATAATATAAACCAACTGGTACACTACGGAATCATAATATAAACCAACTGGTACACTAAGGAATCATGATATAAACCAACTGGTACACTAAGGAATCATAATATAAACCAACTGGTACATTAAAGAATCATAATATAAACCAACTGGTACACTAAGGAATCCTAATATAAACCAACTGGTACACTAAAGAATCATAATTACCATGAGTGCAATCTAACAAAGGAACATTCAGGAACTAGTATTGCTTGAGTGAATAAAAATACATATCCCCTTCGCGTTAAAATTGGAACAGAAATGGAGCAATGAAGACAATGAGAACAACGGTTCTCATCAGTTATAAGGACTGGTTTATTCAAAACAGTCGCACTATGACCACTGGTGTATCCAATAAGTCGTTAATATATATGGTAATACAACTTTGTGCGTAATATCAAGTTTAAGCCAAATTATAAGACATGTTCTGGTCTGGACCAGGCTTACTTCCCAAAAAAAATAGTTAATTTGACCTTAGCTTGATGTCAAAGGTCATGGTTACATGCTTACCATTATACCGCTAGTACTTTTGGCCTAGATAATCTCACTTTGAGCGAGTAAATAAGATCGACAATGAGAGTTAAAAAAGTAAACCAACGTACATCATGTACATGATAAACGTAGTTCCCGCCTGAACTAATATCCCTTGACGTTTCCTGGTCCGAGAATTTTCGTAACAAGTAGTAGGCTGTAAGTAATGTTTAAAGGTTTTAATTAGTTTTTTTTCGTAATTAAAAATTTCCTATTCTTAAGGCAACCATTTACGTTACTATTTATAAGTATCTTGTCCTTAATCGTCGGTGTTATAAAACAGTGCAATAGTTCAGAATTAAATATCACTGTTGACGTCAGAATCATATATTGCTTAAGAACTAGCCAATTAGCATTAAATATGTATTACTGTGTCCGGTGTGAGAGCAAGGTTTTTTCTCGTATATTTATTGTGATCGCGGCATAATCTATCGTGTTTCCAAGAGAGTGCAATGAGTTACTGCCAGAGATTTTTACATGCATGGAGCGTGGTACTCCTGTAACACTGGCCATTGGGTGTAAAGCACCCATTTCGACCAGACAAAGCCGCGTATGTGTGCGTTCTGCACATATAATCGGACGTCCCCTTCCCGTCACCAATACTACCCTATACGGACAGGGAAGTTCATTTGACCAGATTTTCGGTAAAGCTTTTGGTATGTAAATGCATAGATTTGAGGGAAATGTAATTGGTATAAACAGTGCTTTGAACATAATTATTTTCGTAGTGGAAAATTAAAATGACCACTTAGCTGAACATTAAAATATCCACCGGCTTTACAACTCAATATTAAACAAATCACTTAAAAATATCCTTTAATTTAATATAATTCGTCTTTAAGGTAATCAACTTTGCTCTTTGAACGTTATGTATTAACAATAAATATGTGTGTGTCTGTGTGTGTGTGTTTATGCAAGAGAGTGTGTGTAAAAATAGCGCCAAGAAAAACTAGAGCCTCTCAAGAGCCTGTGTCGCTCACCTGACTCTACTTTAGAAATCATGTAAAGATAGATAAAAATCATAACAGATACCCAAATAATGATTGAGGCCAAATTTGGTTTAATATTGGTCCCGTTATTTAATCAAATATCCTGAGTGGCCATCTTGAACAGTAAATCGGCAACAAAGTAGCAACACTTGGTCAGCACCTCATAAGGAACATTCATGCCATGTTTGGTTTCATTCCATTCAGTGGTACTCTAAAAGAAGACATTTGTATGTATTTCCCATAGGGTCCTATGTTAAACTAAGTCCCCCGCTGGCGGCCATCTTGGATGATGGATCGGCTGCAAAGTAATAACACTTGGTCAAAACCTCATAAGGAACATTCATGCCATGATTGGTTCCATTCTATTCAGTGGTTCTCTAAAAGAAGACATTTGTATGTATTTCCCATAGGGTCCTATGTTAAACTAAGTCCCCTGCTGACGGCCATCTTGGATGATAGACGAACTGCAAAGTAACAACATTTGGTCAGCACCGCATAAGGAACATTCATGCCATGTTTGTGTTTCATTCCATTCAGTGGTTCTCTAAAAGAAAACATTTGTATGTATTTCCCATAGGGTCCTATGTTAAACTAAGTCACCCACTGGCGGCCATCTTGGATGATGGATCGGCTGCAAAGTAACAACACTTGGTCAGCACCTCATAAGGAACATTCATGCCATGTTTGGTTTCATTCCATTCAGTGGTACTCTAAAAGAAGACATTTGTATGTATTTCCCATAGGGTCCTATGTTAAACTAAGTCCCCGATGGCGGCCATCTTGGATGACGGATCAGCTGCAAAGTAACAACACTTGGTCAGCACCTCATAAGGAACATTCATGCCATGTTTGGTTCCATTCCATTCAGTGGTTCTCTAAAAGAAGACATTTGTATGTATTCACCATAGGGTCCTATGTTAAACTAAGTCCCCCGCTGGCGGCCATCTTGGATGATGGATCGGCTGCAAAGAAACAACACTTGGTCAAAACGTCATAAGGAACATTCATGCCATGATTGGTTCCATTCTATTCAGTGGTTCTCTAAAAGAAGACATTTGTATGTATTTCCCATAGGGTCCTATGTTAAACTAAGTCCCCTGCTGGCGGCCATCTTGGATGATAGACGAACTGCAAAGTAATAACATTTGGTCAGCACCGCATAAGGAACATTCATGCCATGTTTGTGTTTCATTCCATTCAGTGGTTCTCTAAAAGAAAACATTTGTATGTATTTCCCATAGGGTCCTATGTTAAACTAAGTCACCCACTGGCGGCCATCTTGGATGATGGATCGGCTGCAAAGTAACAACACTTGGTCAGCACCTCATAAGGAACATTCATGCCATGTTTTGTTTCATTCCATTCAGTGGTTCTCTTAAAGAAGACATTTGTATGTATTTCCCATAGGGTCATATGTTAAACTAAGTCCCCCACTGGCGGCCATCTTGGATGATGGACCAACTGCAAAGTAACAACACTTGGTCAGCACCTCATAAGGAACATTCAGGCCATGTTTTGTTTCATTCCATTCAATGGTTATCTAAAAGAAGACATTTATATGTATTTCCCATAGGGTCCTATGTTAAACTAAGTCCCCCGCTGTAGGCCATCTTGGATCATGGACCGACTGCAACGTAACAACACTTGGTCAGCACCTCATAAGGAATATTCATGCCATGTTTTGTTTCATTTCATTCAGTGGTTCTCTAAAAGAAGACATTTGTATGTATTTCTCATTGGGTCCTATGTTAAAATAAGTCCTCCGCTGACGGCCATCTTGGATGATAGACCGACTGCAAAGTAACAACACTTGGTCAGCACCTCATAAGGAACATTCAGGCCATGTTTTTTTTTCATTCAATTTAGTGGTTCTTTAAAAGTAGACATGTGTATGTATTTCCCATAGGGTCCTATGTTAAACTAAGTCCCCCGCTGGCGGCCATCTTGGATAATGGACCGACTGCAAAGTAACAACACTTGGTCAGCACCTCATAAGGAACATTCATGCCATGTTTGGTTTCATTCCATTTACTGGTTCTCTAAAAGAAGACATTTATATGTATTTCCCATAGGGTCCTATGTTAAACTAAGTCCCCCGCTGGCGGCCATCTTGGATTATGGATCGGCTACAAAGTAACAACACTTGGTCAGCACCTCATAAGGAACATTCATGCCATGTTTGGTTTCATTCCATTTATTGGTTCTCTAGAAGAAGTTCAAAATGTAAAAAGTTAACGACGACGACGACGACGACGACGACGACGGACGACGACGACGAACGCCAAGTGGGCCAGGTGAGCTAAAAAATATTAACACAGTGTGTGACAAAAATAACACATATGTGTGACCAATCTTTCAACGTTTTTATAGATATTACGGTCTGTCAAAGTTTGATGAAAACAAAGAAGAAACGTATCAAAAATACCAAATGATGAATAAGTTTACGAACAGAAAACAAACAAGTTCAAAGTCAGATTTTTAAGAATACAAAATGAGAACTTATATTGCATTTCCCAATTAAGGTTTAAAAAAGTTAGCGTATTCGTTTTTTTCCATATCTAATAATGTCCGGAATAAAAAATTTCAGGTGTATACACGTGTATTATGAAGTGTCATGAATTAATACAAAGATATCTATAAATATATATATTATTCATTAAGTTTACTATAATTATTTGACGAGATCGATATCCATTTGGATCAAAATCGTGGTCTTTCATGTAAAAATCGTCAGGAATTTAATATTCATGGTCGTTTAGACGTTAAAGATTTTTGCTTTGAAATTGATAATTATTTTTATTGAACGATATATATTTTCTTTTCATGACTTTATCACTTGATGTTAAATCAATATCAATTCCAAAGAATCTGCTAGTCGGTGATGTGTATGTATTTAAAGGCTATT